TTGCATTCATTCCCCATAGAAGAATGGTAGGTCAAAAAGTTTTGGCTGGTCAACTGTTTGCTGTAATCTAGCATTTTCCATTTTTGAAAGTCTTTGCACTTCACTATCCATTGCTTTAAGCAGACTGCATGTGACATCTATCTGTGATGCTGTACCACTTTCAATCTCCAGGTCAGTGTCTGTCTCGTTATTACCACAACTTAGTTGCAATAGCGCAGAGGCGGCAGCAGTGTCTAACTTTTTGATGATCTGATCAATGACCGGTTATACAGTGACTTTGTTGGTGTGAGTGTTTTCAGAACATGGCAGCGGGCCATTTTCACTGATGGTGCCCAGTCAGGGTTGAGTTGATCATACAAGTCTGCGGGTTTATCTGAAAAGGAATACAAAATCATTTAAGGTATTAGGACCCTAATGGGCACTATCAGAAACTAAAAAATTGACATCATAGGTCAGATGTATACCTAAAAGTACACCTGTATGCAAAATTTTAACAAAGTTTACCGTACGGAAATCAAGTTATGGCCACTTTTCTGAACTCAAGCTAGGATGTTATGAGGGGCCCGTTTTTAGAAATGCGAAACCTTTAAATAATCTGCAATAACATTTTAATGAAAAAATGTTTTTCCCATTAATTTTTGGTAAGAAAACCCAAGAAGTACATTCAGCTAACAAAAATCCACATAAGCAAAATTATGGTTTCTACTTTTTAAAATTTATGAAAATCTGTATAAAAATGTTACCCTACCCCACCCATTTTTTACCCCACATGTCTGACCATTTTTCTACTTAGGGAGCCTAATTTAAAAAATTTTCTTAAAATTTACCAAATGGGAGTGCCTGTTTTTCCCAAAAGTTTCCCTAAAATTTTTAAAAAGGTATATTGGTTGATCTTGTAAAATATTGAAATACTTTTTACCGTCTAGTTTTTGATTATATTACACTTTGAAAAATTATCAGGTACCATATTTATTACTAGATTAAGCATAATTTAGCCAATAAATACTTATATAAATTTAAAAAAATCTAAAGATTAAACACTTTTTTCTTTCCAAAATGGGACATGAAGAGATACATAAAATAATGTTAAAAAAAAAAAAAGAAGCAAAAAAAAAGTTGACCCTTCTGGGGATTGAACCTCATTGGCCCCCTCCATTTTCAAAGTAGTTAACAGTAGGGTTCTAGCCTATTTGAATACTCTTCAAAACGGAGGTAATGCATTAGGGGGCTAATACCCCCCTTAAATGTGTTTGTTTGGCAAAAAAGGCCACATTTACATCATATATTTTGCATTCATCACCATTCACTATTTTTTTAAAGGACACTATAAGGACACTATTAAAATCACTATATTGAGAGCACTATGTAGTCCCAAGCACCAAATATTTGTATAAATAAAACATCTAACAAATGATAAATGATGTTATGCTAAATACTGCATATGTACAGAAAAGATTTTTTTATTAAAGGCATATGCCGGTAGAAAAATGTCGCAGATGCCTTGCATAAACTGGTACTGTTGAGTGTGGTAGAACAGCCGCAGATCCTCATCATTCATAAATGACCCCCAAAAAATAAATGACATAATAATCTATATTACAAAATATATAACCTAATAACTTAATACTTACTGATAAAATGATCAGAGCAGATAGGAAGGTTATCATAGCTGGAGGCCCTTGGATCAATTCGAGCGATATTAGCCAACCATTTATCTCGTCGATCTTGAGAAAGCTGCTGTGTCTTTTCACCCTGGTGTTAAATAACTTTAGGCAATCTGTAGTATGATCTGTCGTTTTCACGATCATGTCGGTTAGAGCAGCCAAACACTGCACAAAAAGAAGGCATATCTGAAGTCTATTTGAGAAAATTAATGTTAAAGAATGTAAGTTACATTATAGACCTGATTTCTTACCCTGTGTCACTTTTTTTTGTCTACCAATATGGCCGCCGCAGGTACGCGTGACGTCATACGGGTACGCTCTAATTCTTTCTTATGGCAACAACAAAGCTAAATTCATATATCATTTCAGATATTCATAAAAATAGAATGTTAGATATATATAATCAAACATGCTATTCAGAAATAACTAATTCAAGTAGATTACAAACATAAAATATGTGCAAGTATGACCTTGAATTTGAAAAAAATCTTAAATTGTGTAAACATAAATAAATAAAAAGTACAATTGACGCAATTGACGTTATCATCACATAATATAGAAAAAGAAATTGGCTGGCACAACGGAGTTCCAGGGAAAGAGAAATATACTATGTCCACATTGTAAAATGTACGTCATCGAAAACTGAATTTCAAAATTTATTGGGGTTCGAAAATATTATAACCTTCGTAATAAGTTTATATTTTTGCCGTTGGCCTACACTTCATGTTTTCATGTTTGACTATGATACAAAAGAGAAGAACATCAAAACACTTGGCAATCTGATTTATTCTGGGGGACTATGCCCCCTCGTACAAATCAGATAGCCTCGTGTTTCGATGCTCTTTCTATTACTTAATTGCTTAATCTAAATGAATATCTGTTATTAATAACTTATCTGAGAACATTTTTGTAAAGAAGACACAATGCTTTATAAACACTATCAGATAAATCAAGTCAGTTATCAATAGTTTACCAGAAATAACTCGTGTCGAAATCGCATGCGAATTTATAGAAACAAAGGGCTACAAGTTTTATCAATATTGACGTCAATGACAAATTAAAACCTTGGCATAATTATTCATGGTGCAAAAGATAGACACCAAGGCGCATATTTTGCAATTACCTTGTAAGATTGTAATGAAACTACGTATATAATAATAAGGAAATAATACCAATCAAAACTTTCAAAATGTAATAGTATCTTATTGAGTTACAGTCTTTACAAGTTTCAAATAAAAAGTAGCAAAACTCAAACTCATATACTAGATTTTGAAAGACCTTAACATGAATGAATATTTTGAAAATAATTTATTTAATTTTCTTCTCAGTCAATTTGTGTATTTTCGGCGTTACTGCTTCTAATAACTAGATGCACAATTAAATGTAATAAGCAAAAGTTCTTTCTCGAGAGTCAAATATTGAAATTTTTTAATCGTTAATTTTAATCACCATAGACTTGATGACGTTTGTGTGATGTAGATTTCACCCATGATAATGTAGATGTGTGGGTACAAGCGAACATCTGTTACTAGAACGGTTTATTTTTGACGTCTTTCAAAAAAATAAAGAAGCAACATTTAATTGCATTTCGTTAATAGAAAAGTTACTAGGAATTTTCAATTGACATTTAATCTACTGAAGAAGCTATTTTGCGTAATCTGTAGAATTTGAAAATAAATTTGTAATAACAATATGATTTTAAACCAACATATTTGTTTAGTTTAAATGTATATATTCCAAATAGTATATATATAGATGATTATATTACAAGCTTTCAACAGCTATTTTCTTAAATATAATTATGTTATACTATAAAGAAAATATGTAAATACCCTTGAAAAATATGAAGGGGCAGGGTTTGAGTTGGGGAGATGCTTAAATAAAGTTCGCAATTCGAACTTGCAATGTCTATAGTAAAGCAATTGGCTAATCTTCTAATTAATCTTATTCTAATTAATTAACCCATAACGCAAAGTTAAGTTATAAATTCAAACGACATTCCAAATTGTAAATAAGGAGAACACCGGACGCGTTCACACTTGTTCAATTTTGGAACAAAATCAAATAGTTAACAAGTGTTGGAAATGTAGATTATGTTCATGTAAATGAATTCCATTTATATTTTCAAGGATAATGAAGAATGTGATTTTCCTGCTAAATTGGAGACAAATTATAACACACAATTTAATGATATTCAGAGGAGAGAACAATTGCTTTGGAGACTGTCCGTTTGTGTTTAAAATTCAATTAATTGAAACTTACTTTGTTTTCGACATAGAACATTGTTTATTGTTATTTTTTTGAATAAAATAGAGATAAACAGAATCCCTAAAGAAAGCCCAACACAGACTCTCTCAGCAATTTGTATTTGAGATGAATAAAAAAGAAATTTTAAGAAAATAATTTTATTTTCTGTAAGAAATTTTAGGAAGCCGAAACGCATGTTCCAAGTTAATATGTACTAAAATTATTGTAAGGACTTGCAGTCTGATCATAATTGTGAAAGTCTTTTAAATATTTTTCTTTATAACTGTTTATAAGGCTTAGAGTTAGAAAAAGAGAGAAGTTTTAAATAACATTATTCATTTGGTTATTGTGAATGACTGAAGAATAATTTAAAAAATCTCAATATGATTGCTTCTTTTTACGACTTAGATCTGTTGTTTTATCACGTGTTCAAATCTAAACATAAGTGTTCATCAGTATTCTAACTTTTTTAACATACCTAACATTGAACATGTTCTATGCGTTCACTATCTGTTGCATGGGAGTTGAACGCGTCTGGCATTTAAAAGTAGAACACCTAAATGTTTATTATATGTTCAATAATGGAATGATTTGGTGTTAGGTTTTTAACGTCAACGATAAGATTTCAACTCCAGATGATCATAAGGCGTTAATATAGAACGGTTTGAGACAAAAATAAACACAAGCATTAAAGAATGAAACGCGTCTTGGCGTTCAATATCTGCAAATAGGCGTTTATTATGTGTTCTATTATTCCACATTTACAGTGCACATGCAACATGCGTGTCAGCATTGTTTTCTGCTTATGTCAAAAGAATAAAAACCAAAGTAAGTTTTGATTTAACACGTTTTGCCTGCATGATGAGACTATCTTATCAGTCGACCTTTGACATTTTATCATGACCCAATTTTTCATATTATATAAGTGATCAGTTGAGAAAAAAACTTGTTGTAAGTGCTATTAAACAACATAGTAACATACAATAATATCTGTGCACACAGTTCTAAAATGTTTACAATAAGCTCAGCAATGCGTATTTTGTCCTGTCTTGGACTATTTCAACCGACATTTTGTCTTCCAGTGACTAAAATGAATCAATAAGTGCAACAATATCAGCAATAAATTCTGCTGCAGCGGCCGCGGTAAGCGCGGGAACCAGTGTGGCGGGAACAACAATGAGTGCGTTAATGGCAGACGGTTATGCGGTCACGTGCGGTATCGAAATAGAAAATTGGACAAAATACGTTTTAGCTTTTCCTATTGCTCACGTAAAGGGAGGAACTCTTTCGTCTCCACCTGTGACAATATTACCGGCAAAGAAAGAGGTGATGATATCTCACAAAGCTTCTGGTACCGCTACAGGTGTTTACGGGACTGCGTCTTGGCTCATAGAATCGACAGCTGTTAGTCAGCAACGTCGACTTGTTGTCATGTGGTCAGCACCGTACGACTTTAACATTCACAGCAACACCCTTGCTGTAGGAATAACAACTCCAGGACAAACGTCACATCCGGTAGGACCAACATGGTTCGACAAAATGTATTATGATGAGAAGGTCGCCATATTGCCGTATATAAAGAAAGAGTTTGTCCGCGATTTCTCACCAATCATCTTTGAGGACGCTGAGTACCAGGAAGTTCCTACAATGGGATCCAGTCACTAAGCTCAAGTCAAGATTCATATCAGACCGAAGAAATTTGAAGATCTTGTTGCGAATATAAAAAGCCAGATTCAAAAAAAATAATTTTTAAACAGTTTTAATTAATTACCAGTTGTTTTTATTTAACAATTTTGTCATAAAGATAAACATTATTTTATTTTCAAGATAAGGAATAGTATATAAATAACACATGGATTTGTGGGTAACAGTAAAAATATCATTACCGCCTCGGGTAACAGTATTTTTTACGAGGGATGATATTCTTACTGTTACTCACAAACCCATGTGTTATTTATTTTATTACCCCGAACAAAAATACTGAAATGATCTGAAATTGTCAACTAAATCTAACTGTAACAAAAACAAACCAAGAGTAACAATAACTAAACTGTCCTTACCTTTTAAGTTTTAAGTGTACTTTAGGCCTACTTGAGAAGTTTTCTTTTTCTTTTATTCTTTAAGCAAGTGATGATATCTTAAAATCATAAACATACAATACGCTAGGTTTTATTTAGAAAACAAAACACCAACCCAATTACACGGTTATGATCTGTGAAATCTGATCCTTCTGTTTTCAGAATATTCTTAGCATGGCTTTTGACAAAATAACGATGATATCCTATGTCTGTCCACCATATCTGTAACGTTTCACTGATTAAAATTGTAAAATAATCCTTTGTTGCATGCTTAAATCGTCTGCATGTTCCAGTTTGACACATAATTACTGTATTTACATTGCAAGTACTTCCGTTGAAAACGGATGTTCATTTTTTGACTATTCAACAAAAGATATTTTATACGCGAAAAGCACACCAGGCTGCAAACAACTAAATTTTATGAGTGTCATAGTTACTTCAGAGATGAAATTGATGTCCTATCGGGGTTTAACGTTGAAAATAAGAATGAATCGAAAGAGAAATGGCGGCCATTTTATTTCATTTTATTTAGAAAATAGACCACGTGACCAGATTTTATACTGTTAAAAATTACTGTTACCTATGTAACAGTACAAAATTCTTAGTCACGTGGTACACTTGCATTAACAGTAAAAATAACTCCCAGAGGCCTATGGGAAATTAGCATTACGAAAAAAGTGAGGGGTAATAATAATAAATCATATAGCTGCAACTTATGAAGAACTTTCAAGTTATTATTTGTACAATGTATATAATATTAAATAAATAGACTGCCAATGTTATATCCCCGTGCATAACGAATTTCATATATTATAACTGTTTTATCGCAACTCCATATTTTATTCATCTTATTGTACCAAAACCAGCTTATTAAACTATGTTTTTTGTTGCTGGGAATTTGTGATATCCCCGACCCATTCTAACCTCTGTAAAAAACTACACTGATATATAACATGTGCAAAAAAACTTATATCACTTGAGTTCTTTTTTTCCTTTTAGAATCAATGAAACAACAGTACTGTTATCATATTATATCAATACAGTTTTCAAATCCTCATTGAAGTGTATGTAAAAACAAAACAAAAAATACGTCCTAACCATGCGAAAAGGGTATAATTTCTATATGCGAGATAGAACTTTTTTGTTTATTTATTACTGCAGTAAAAGAAGTAATTTTGTTTTAACACTATCAGTAGTTGAATACTAAATAAGTGTTTTCGCATTTATTTACTTAGAATTTTAATTATTGTCATCTATGAAAACTCGAGACACCTATACTTAAATCCAATAAAACAACAAATACGGAGAAACTCTTTTTCAAGTAAATTGGTTTAGCATGAGGCACACTGTGTCGTTTTACTTCCTCAATACTTCGATTCCAAATAATTAAGAAATTAAACAAAGTATCTTTAAAAAGATACTCGACTGAAGTAAGCATAATTGTACTTGCATATGTTATTGCTAAGTAATTAATACATAATGAAATGTTAGTGATAATGAAAGTAATTACATGTGCATTTTTTTATTCTGTCGAAAACAACAACCACAAATAAATATAATTTGATTCGTACTTGATATTTTCATTCAATTAATGTTTCCTCGTGTATTTTGTTTATAGATGATGAATGCCATTTTAGACTCAAACATAATTCATATATCATTGGATCTGGGACACCCATGCAAATACCGAAAAAAATCTTTAAGATTCCATGTAATATTTATTGGTTTAAATTATTTTGTAAAATTACCCTTACTGTAGTTGACATAGCATTTAATGTTTATATCTAGGAAACACTTAAATAATGTTCTTGTTTCCGTAACTGTTATTTACCCTGACGTATATTCATTGTGTGCACATTAATATGTGCTTCAATAATATGGAAAGATTATATGTATGAGAATAATGAAATTCAAATCAATTAAACACATCAACAATATTCATATGATATCATTAACACTGAGCATAATCTACTGAGTATACCAGAAGAGTTCGGAGTTTTTAATGTTGTGTCCTTCGGAATTTTCATACACATGCGTTTCAAGGATCGTGAGCGTTATTTGTGGTCTAGTTATTTTATACAAAATTGATATAAAATGTTATCTATATCACATTCTTATGCTGAAAAAACCTGTTCATTAGATTGTATTGAAATTTTAAAAGCAGTGAAGTAATTTAAATGTTTAACGTAAGGAAGCACGGTTAACAGGTCTCAAATTTTAAACTTTGTTTTCGAAACTCCTTTAGTAATTTAAACGTGTATACGTACATTTCAGAATGATCCTTCATATTATTTTACAAAACTAGAATGGCCAATGAGATTCGCCGATTTCAGTTCGCAAAGTTTGAAATGATCAAAGGAACTCTTACCTATATTCACTTCTTCCCTGTATATCTTACAGAAAGTCAAACTGTCTCAGACGGAGTTCGTCCGTAACAAATCCAACTCACTTTATCACAAACAACCGAATAATTATTTTTCACAAATAACATATTACTTAATAGTTCGTAAATGTGTAAAGAAAATGTGTCAGAAAGTATTTTTTGTTTTTAGTTTGGTTATTCATAAGTTGCAGATAGAATCGCAAAGAAGCCATTTTACCTTTTAATTTATCTTTTAACGTTTTGAATGGAATAACACATGCTACATAAGATATTGATTGCAATGCCTTTAGAAATAGTTTATGTAAATCTTTATCGTTCGAAGATACATGTATATAGATTTTTGAAACTTTACGACAATGTGGAACTGAACAACATCATTTCCTCTGACGCTTTGATTTTGAGTCTCTGTTTTAGTTTATACAAAATTTGTTTTAGTTCGATTTTAATGGAAGCAATACATTTATAGACATACTCTCAATCATTCCTGAAACTAACGACGGATTTATTGTAATATAAATCCGTGCCAGTACTAAGCTCTAAATAGAGTGACAGTTTCTTGCTCAAGGAAACAATGAACTTTCCTTTACGGGGTTTGAACTCGTGCGATTATCTGTCCTATAAATTTACCATTAGTTTGCAAAGTGCTCGATTGTGTCATTATTATAGCATATTGATAATATATTTTATTTTATTTGAGTCTCATCCATATTTAACAATTTTAAAAGACATATAAAATTACAATTACAATATGGTCATTCTAAAAAGAATTATCTGAGACTATATGTTTACAAATATTTACATATACAGTAAAGTTCCACCAAAAAAAAGACCACACAAAATGAAGGCCCCAACAGCGGAAAGGTCCCATCAGCGAGCCACTTAATAATAACAATACTCGTATTAATCACATATTCTCGCGTAATCAATATCATAAACAACAGTAAAAATGATAAAACGAGCATTTCGACATATTTCTTTGATATCATCTGTATTTTATCTATCTTTATTTGAATTTTATTATCTATTACTGATATAGAGAGCACAAATTTTAACATGTTTATTTTGTACATCGACCTCACGTAGAACATTTCGTCCAAATGAAGTTTATGGATCAAACTGACACAGAATAATGACATATTTTTTCATAATATATATATCTTGTGCAGTATAAGAATATTTGCTAAAATGAAAAGGAAATTATGTAAATATCTAAAAGCACGAAGGATGTCATATCATATTTGACCGACGAGAGTTGGTCTAACGCTATAATACCGAGCTATAAAACATTTGCAAGATATCTTATTATGCTAACAATTAGTTCCAATGTCTTGTTCATTTCGACTGTCCTCTTTCGTCTTTTCATAATTTATGCTACTTCTTTAAGAATTATTTTCAACGTGTAGCGTCTTTCAGTTTGATTTCAAATGCTGTGCATTATTTCATATACAAAAGGGCACCCTTGAAAAAAATATGTCATTACTGTGGTTTTGATATATCGGTGCTTTGGTCTTTAAAGAGGGTGCTGCGGTTTATTGATATATATGATAAGGTTATGTGCTTGGGCACTACAATTTATTTGGAATATTATGCTCTTAGAGCTCCACATTTCAAGTGTTTATGGCATTACCCAACTGATAACATATTTACAACCATTTTACGGGGTCAGAACAACTATACATTATCGAAAATAAAGACGATAGTTCTATTAACTATTAATCAAAAAACCATCACAATTTATACAAACAGAAACTTTATCACAATGCATCTAAACCACTGCGCAGGATAAAATACGAAAGCACCAAATATCAAACCCACATCATTATTTGTAAAACCCACAGCACTATATATAAAATACCAGCACAAAAACGAAACCACAGCGCAATTTATCAAAATAACAGCACCATTTATTAAACCGACACAATTATATTTTAAAACTTCACCATATATTAACTTGACAACACCATGTATCAAAACCACTGGACCATATATTATATGGCAACACCATATAAATGTATCACAACCAAAACATTATCAATATAATTACACAATGTACTAAAATGACAGCAACATTTATCAAAACCACATCACCAGTTATCAAAACCGTAACACAATCTATCAAACTGACGTCATCATCAAAACCACATTACCATCTATTAAATCCACATCACCATCTATCAAAACGACATCACCATATATCAAAACGACATCACCATCTATCAAAACGACCTCACCATCTATCAAAACGACATCACTATCTATCAAAACGACCTCAACATCTATCAAAACCACATCATAATCTATCAA